TTCCCTTGAATAATCACCTGCAGGTGGATTCATATCATGTGCTATTCTTAGCCTCACTTCTTAGCCTCATGTCTCATTTCTAGGTGTTACAAGAAACTGCATTTGAAACAGGTACTCAGCATAAACAGGCGAGTCGCTTGAAATGCCCGAAGACTGCAGTTTCAGCAGACTGCGGCCAGCAAAAGCATAAACTTGAATTTCAAGTGGTTTAACAGGTCAAAGCAGAGAGACAAAGCAATATATTCATGGTTGAAAGCGTGCATACACCTGCATATACATCCACGCAGCTGCACAATCAACAAAACACTTGACAATTTAAAAGCATAATTAAGCAAATCAGGCTGATATATAGAGCTTTCCTTTACTTAACGTTTTTCATATCTTACCTCACATTCACTTTGAAAATGAAACTGAGAGCTCCTAAGACAGAACTTCATTTTCAGAATGTAAAAAGTAAACTTAAAAAACCTGCCCATATCATGTCTACAGCTATGCTGAGCGTGTATGTATAATTCTGTGCCCCAGAACAGCAGAATGTGATGCTATAAAGGCATCAATATATATATTGCTTTATGCACAGAACTGCAAACCAAAATATCTTGCAGCCAGCTGCCCAAATATTAGGTGCTCATGGGCCTCAGGGCATTGATGCCCCATAAATTTAAGAGTATTTATTAGGTGAATACAGAACTGGAAGTTTTGTAGCAGTGGAAAGTAAGTATGATAATGAAGTAAACACATGTTGCAAAGAAAATACCAACTAATCGTGCACTCTGTGCAGGAAATAGCAGCTTTAAACAATCACTTCTTGAATGCTGGAGCGAGGCCTGTGAGCTGGCTACAGGATGGTCTACTTGTTAATGACATCTCTCTGTGTCCTGTAGCTTTTTACAGTGCTGTAAACCCCATCCGACAAGTAGGTAACCAAATAGTTGTTATGCTGCTTTGAAGGACCTTAAGAGCGCTCCTTTCCATTCCAGAAAGTGGAGTGCTACATGCATGGATGTAGCTTCAGTCTTCCTTTGATAAGCAAGAGGAAGCATTCTTCAGGGGACCATTCCCACAGGTACAGCTGGGATCCCTTCCTTGTGGTCGGAGAAGACCTAAGGTATGGTCAGGACTGTGCATCATGAGCTCCATCTGGAGGTTGTTTGCTCTGATCTGTAGTTTTGAAAGGAATGGAGAGAAAATGCAACAGTGCTGGGTCAAAATCACCAAGCTCCAGGGGCATCTGGAAAAAAAAAAAAAAGACCTTGCAAGCCAGAAGAGCTGGCTGATGTGGAGGTATCACACTGAGAATGGCAGGTGGTGGGGTGAGCTCCATTTGCCCATGGTGTTGGGGGCCCTTACACCTATACCTGAGATGCAACCTTTGCTGTATGTTATCTATTGGTCAATGCAGCGAAGAAGAGGAAGAAAACCCAGCACACAGTCAAGATTGTCCCATTAGACCACTTATGGTGGAAGCAGCTGCCCTCCCAAGTCCCCAGTGTGTATTTGAAAGTCTGACTTTACTCCCACCCTCAAATGTAATGGGGGTTGCGGAGGGGATGTCAGCCCAACCTGTGGCTTCCACAGAGCACACACAGCAGTGGGAATGGCCATTCCAGAGGTTCAAGGCGAAAAAGTACAGGTTTGTTCATTTGGACCAAGTACTGCTGCATGAAGCTCACAAAGCGCTTGTTTGGGGTGTGGGACAAGTTTCTGATGACTTACGCCGGACGTTCGATCCTGGTGGTTTTGCTCAGCTGTGTCTCGAAGCTGTCTGCATGCACAGCTTCAGCTAGAGGCTTCCACTGTTAATTTAATCACTACAAATTCGGAAAAAAAGTTTCAGGCTGTGTCAGCACACTCGTACAAAGTCAGAGCAGGCTGAGATGCAATCAGACTTTCCGCCCAGCTACTCCTACAGTAAAAGCTGCTGGGAGTGGGGTACGCAGGACCCTGCAGCCTATCTCTGTTCTAACATTACAGACAAAAAGTGGTGCTGTGTGGCTGAGCTAAAAACCCACCAGTCATGCTTTTCTCTGAGGGGTCTGACTGATGCAGAACTGTTGAGCAGAGCAAGAGAGCTCCATGGAAAAGCGGCGTGGTCAGTGCACAGGAAGGTCGTGCTGAGCGGGATCCCCTTGTTCGAGGACCTGCTGCACGTTAATAAACTCATCATCCTCTTATCTGAGCAGATAAAAAAATGCTGGGGGATTCTTAAGCCAAGCAACAGTCTTAGATATCCCAAGACCCCTTTCCTCCTCTGACGCAGTGAACATCATTACACGTTAGGATGTCAGGAATGGTATTTGGGGCAAGAAACCTTTGTGAGCTTTGCCATACATGCTACAATCACACCCATGGGTGTAAATATTATTGCTGGCTCTGCTTGCTGCGTGACTGTGCACCTGACACTGCCACGAGAAGAAGGTGCCCCAGCTGCAGACTGCTGCATGGGCCTGGGGAACCCAGGTTGTTTGACTCTGATTTTACGTGAAAAAGCGCAAGACCTATGTGGAAAAGCATCTCAAACGTAGAGGCTGGAAGCGCAGTCTGTGCCATGAACAGACCTGTAACACAAGCCAGCAGCCGCGCTCCATGCCCGTGATCAAAACCCCAGATGCGGGGCAGGGCTCTCTTCTCTACAAGATGGGAACACATGCAGGAAACCGGGCACATGGCCCAAATTACATTTTTGCTATGGAGTCAGCGCCAGATGCCCCGCGGGATGAAGAAGGAGTGGAAAGGAAAACGGAAGGAGAATGGGAGCTTAAGGGGACACGTGGAGTTTAGTCAGCTGCTCAATGACAGAAAGTTTCAGGGCTACGCTTCTCTAATGCCAAAGGCTATGATGGCTGTTCAGTTGTCAGTCAGCTTCCGGAAGAAAAAATGAGTTTGTAATTAATCACTCAGGGTGCCAAACTGGTGTGCAAGTTTTCGTTTTCATACACTCTTTACCCATGAAACTAAGCAGTCTGCCCTAAGCGCTGGGAATCAAGGGCTGCAAAAGTTATTTCCTCCTTTTTTTCAATGCTGCTGAAAATCAAAGTCACGTAGGCCCTCTTCCACAACAGGATTATGACAGACTGCACAGCATGGTCCTTAAGTAAAAAAAAGCAATTCTTGACATTTACGCAGATCATCAGGACATCTTTGATTTGCAATATGAACTAAGTTACTGTTGCCAGAAGATGTAAAAATTTTGAGGGAGGCCTGCAGATCATACAGGAAGAGTATTATGGTGGTGGCCTGTCACACAGTGGATGAAAGTGATGAAAAGGTGAAGATTTATTGCTGTGTAGATCCTTTTCTGTAAAATATGGTGGCCTTTACTTGCATGTTCACAGACAGGTTTATGGCTATCATTGGAGAGAAAAAAAAAAACAAAAGTATATTTGACCAATGACATATATACTCAACCAAAAAGGAAAATATTCAAACCTGTCATGTGTTACACAGCTGCGACTATCAAGTGGGAACCTACTTCTGGTATGGCTAAGTGACCATTGATGGGATGACAACAACTTTCAAATATAATGGCTGCTTTTTCCATGGTTGTACTGAATGCTACCATGAAAACAACTGGAACCATCCGGTGCAGATCACCTATAGTTACTCATTTACACAATGCGACAAAAGATAGATGGCCTAAAGAGAGCAGGTTTTACCATCAGATCTGTATGGGAGCACAAGTGAGCTGCTATGAAAAGAAACAGATGGGGGGGGCTCATGGTCTTAGCCAGGCCCAAACTGCCCAGTCCCTAATCCCCAGGGATGTGCTTTTTGGCAGCAGGACAAATACCATTTGCCTGTTCTATAAAGCAGCCCCTGATGAAAAGATACATTGCTACCATTTTGCTGGTCTCTATCCTTTCATCAGCAAAACTAAAAAATACCTTCTTCAGAACCCAGAAGTCTTTTTTTTGAGAATTTTGACACACTGACCACCTATTTTGGGATGGCCAAAGTAAAGGCATACCCACCTCATGGGTTCTTTTTCCTCCTGTGTCTCATGGGCGCAAATGGCAAACTATTATTTCGCTTGTGCTGCACTTTGAAATCTGTCAGGCTCTCTGCACCCACAGCAACAAACGGGAGTCCCTTGCAGATGCCTGGTGCACCCTGAACAATGCTCTGGAAAAAGGCTACAGAGTCTGTGAAACCTAGGAGGTCCGGCATTTTGAATGGAGGGGCAGTAGCCTTTCCCTGGACTTCATAAAGACACGTCTCTGCCAGAAGCAGGAACCTTCAGGCTGCCCAGCCTGGTGTGCAGATGCTGACAAAAAAAAAAAAAAGCTAAATATATTGAAGATTACAGGCAGAGAGAAGACGCAGCTTGAGCACACTAAGTAACACCCAACAAAATGCCAAGCTGCCAAAGTGTTTTACATTCTCTGTGGGGTAAAATGGGAGTGAGCTCCATTGCTCCAACAGTACCAGAGGAGCTGTATGGTTATCCCTTCCGAGTCACATAGGGGACCAGTTCCCCCCAGTTTATCACTATTTATGTGAGCTGACAAGTGATGACCATGTTACCGAGTTAGGGTCTTCAGGTCCCAAATCTTACCACTACTTGCAGCACCACTTAAAAGTTCAAGTGCAACAAACAGAAAAGATCCATTTTTCTCTGAGAGCCCAGGGAAGCTGGGCAGGGATAGGCAGGCCTGGCAGTGCCCCCAGGGCCCTGGCAGCCCCTTGGTGGCCTCCTTGGAGGGGTTGGTGGGAGGCATGAACCTGCCCTTTGTTTTGTTTAATTACTCCCATTCACATTTAAACATCCATTAGTCCTTTCATTACCTCTTATTAAAGAGTGTTTATCCAATTTATACCCACGCTTTTATGGACATACATTTAAATTATAATTTTTTAATATATATAGCATATACACACTGAATAGGCACATATATAAATACATATAGGAAGTGGATCCACAAATAAATAACTCAAATATTTATAAATATTTGTATCCTCCTTCATATATATATATTCATATATGAGACAGAAAACCCTATGTTGTTATACTTGACCACTTCCTGGTCCAAAGGGAACAGGCAGCCAATCAGAGGGTGTTCTGAGATCACATGAGTAGGACAGTCTCAGAAGTCAACCTTAAGCAGCCAATCACAGGGCAGTATGGGAAGAGGTGGGGCCTAGCCTCATGCTGGGAGGAGCCTGCCATTGCTGAAGCAGAAAGAGGCTTCCTGCACTGCTGTACCCTGGGGTATGGGGAAGAGAGCTAGGTCTTTCCAATAAAGATCCTTCCTCTTTTTATAAAGATGTCTGTTCGCTCTTTGAACCTCACTTTATTTGTAGCTCTAACAACCTTTGACGGCGAAGAATTTCATAGCCTAACTATACATTCAAAACTATATCCATGATAAATTAAGAGCAGGCATGCCTTAAATTGCATTAAGATGGCGCTTTGCTCTTCTGTTGTGACAGGAAAAGAACAGGCTTCATTACAAGCTTTTCCAGGATATGCTTCCATTGTTTCTTCTGTTGCCCTCTGATTCAAGATAAGCAGTGCCAGCCTCTTCAGTTCTTTGGCGTTTCTACACCTCTATAACAGTGTATGCTCACCATTGCCAGTCCACTCCATACCAAGTATTCCAGCAACTGCACGAGGGAGAAGTGAAAACAGTTTTCTTTTCAAAATAGAAGGATTTTTTCCATTGAAAAAAAAAACCACCACACCCACCCTCAAGTTTTAGGTTGCATTTACCATGGCAGTATTTTCAAACAGCAGCCACAGAAGCAAACCAGTAGTGCTTCTCATTTTAATTGCATAAAACCAACATGAATAAATTTTATCAAGCCTGTATGGATACAGAGGTGTATTTTTTTAAAAATATTTTTTGTATATGCTTATTTACAAAAGGAAAAATGAGACTACAATTTCAAGCCAAATAAAAAGGACAAGGCTAAAAGTGGAAGAAGACGCAAAACGTGTGGGCTTTTACTTTTAAAAAAGTATCTGGAAGACAAACAGAGGACACACAAGGAAAACTAACAGCCAGAGTGGCTGCTTAAATTTGAAACAGCATCAGAAAAAACAACTCTCTTATCCCTCACTTAATGTGTGGTGAAAGAGTCCAAAGTAGAGCAGTACTTCAAACCTCAGACATACTCTGGGGAGCTTGAAGCTTAGTAGCCATATTTTTCATTAAGATGTGTCTTGCCATCACCACTTTGACCTAATGGACAGAAGAACAGTTGCATTATTTTCCCCCCTCATCCAAGATAAACATGTATCCAAGTATGAAACAGTATCTAGGCAGCACCAGTCAGATAAGCGCGGAGAGGATAAAAAATCAGACTGGATATTACAATTCAAATAGTCTTTTGATTTATACTTTTAATTCCTCTTAACCTTACTAATAGCGTCAAGATTACATCATATATTCCTGGTGGCTTGTTGGTTTTTTGGTTTTGTTTTGTTTTTTGTTGGGGTTTTGGTGGTTTTTTGTTTTTTGGTTTTTTTTTGGTGTATGCCAGCATAGAAGATAAGTCTGATTATTAGCAGGCAGAGACAGAAAAAGGAGCTCCCTCTTATGGACACAGCTCACTTGGCTATCCCAGATCAGACCTCTCAGTTACTGAATAGGGTATTTTCTTCTGGTGGATTCATATGCCAGAGAAGTGCAGTCTTTTCATTGAAGGATGATTTACCAGATTATAGTTTTCTTCAGTGAAATTTGTTCTCCTTTTTCTTATTCCCTTTGGAGCATACCTATATTATAAGCCTGCAACAGCCTTATAAAAATTATAGTAATAAATCTACCAAATGAGAGCTAAGCTTTGAACTTACTATGAAAACTTCAATGCATGAAAATGAAGTTTTACATTTTAAAGAAACTGAAAATTCATTACACTGTTTAAGAATAACCTCATTTAGCTAAAAACACTCTGCAACTAAAGTAAAAAAATTTGTTCAACTTTAACGTATATTGGATGCGTGCCTCGATTATTCAGTGCCTTCACCAAAGCGCTACCAAGATTTCTCTCCAAAATACATGACCCAAAGTTTGTATCCCAATGATTTTTACAAAAACCTGCGAAGATTTCCAGATTTCACAGACTTCTATGAAAACTGAGAAATACTAAGACTGCTGGAGCATTTATCCCTAGTGAAGGTTTGAGCTTGTCTTTCAACTAGATCATCATATCCCTATGTGTGAATGGAGTTAGCTCTCTCAGGTGTTACAAAACCGAAAAACAAATATCAGGTGTATCTGCCCCCTGAGATGAAGCTACTACAGATATGGTCTGCATTTCACGGCAAGACTTGCATGGCCATACAACAAATATGGGGCACAACATGCCAGAAAACATCAGGTTCTGGGTGAAGTATTCCTGAATTACTTTTTTTCCTCAAGAAGTTACAAGGACACCCTGACAACTTATTAGGTAGATTCCTGAGTTATAGGACAAAAAATGCTAAGGAAGCAGTTCATACCCGCAGGAGGAATCCATATGCAGTAGTCTGGGTCATCATCTGGGTACTGTGAGGAAAAAAAAGGTTGTTGGACCTGCAAAAGGAGAAATAATTTTTAAGGTGGTGCACCCCTCCAGCAATGTGTCACAGCCACTAAATCTCAAATTAATTTAGAGACAAATGCTGAAAGGCGAGTTATTTCAGGGATGAACAGCAATACAGAGGAAAGAAGAAATATCAAACCCTCAAATAGATCCAGTTTATCCTCAGTAGAGTCACAGAATAACAGAAATGCTGGTTAGATGGGACCTCTAGAGCTCATCCAGTCCAATCTCCCCCTCAGAACAGAACCATTGCCAACTTTTCTCTTCTGGACAGTTTAACCTTGTCATCCCAATGTTTGATAGTGCCATTCGACACAGAATTTCTTTATACAGGGAAAAGTTTTAAAGTAGGATTTTCAAGAATTGCTTTACTGATGCACAGTCCTACTGAAAACGTTGGGTTTAAGGTGACTTTCAGACTAGAGTATATAAAAGTTTAGCTGTTATATAAGAATAACTTAGCTTTTCAGGTCTCACTGGCATCACTGAAATTTTTAAAGCAAACCAAACCAGGTCATTTGCAATTCAAATGTTGACACAGCAATGTCTTCTTGTCCCTAAATTTTTAAGTTTTGCCCTATCAGCATAATTTTCTCAACAAATTTTGTTTTCAACAACTGCAGGTAGCCATCAAAAGAAATTCATGCAACTGTAGAGTGCAAGACTTAAGAGCTCGATAGTCTCAACTGAGCTCAACTGATGTAGCCAAGTTACTCAGCACTGATTTGCATTACTCTCTAGTGTCATGACACAGTCTCAAGTTATGCAGTTGAAGCAATTTTTCATTCCCTCAAAAACTTTCCTTCCCCAAATTAACCTCTAAAAGTTCTTTTGGAAGACTAATGTTTTCCAAAACATTAGACTGCAGGGTTGAACAGTTTTTAAATATGGCTTGTGAACAGTCACTTTAAAATTGTTTTTCCAGTTTTACATGATTCAAAGTTATTCCTCAAATATTAGAAGAGAAAAAAAAAAAGCTGACTTCTGGTTGATATTTTCCATGCAAGATCTCAGCCCAAAGGCACAGACAGCATGTGGAAAAAGTGATTTGTGATGGGAGAGAGAATACAGCTAAGCCATCTGGCATTTGGAGAATGCTCAGTGTTAGTGTGAGCGCTGGGCTGATGAGAGGTGCTGACTTGACTGCCTCAGCATGAGAAGCTGCCTTGTTCTCCCATATTCAAAGAAGTGGTATAACTTGGGCTTTAACAGTATAAATTTACTCTTGGTTTCTTTACCAACATGCTTTATAGGCCAGCAACAAAGGACAATTCTAAAGGCTATGCCTACCCAATCCTCGGGTCCTTAGCCAGGACTAACAAGGCAACAGTTAGCACACACAGCCTGCAGGGAGTTATGTTTCTTTAAGTAAGCGGTGCAGGGCTAAAATTAGATGGCCACCACAAAGAAATTGTCATAACTGTCAGAACTCGCGGCCCACCAAGTGCAGTAATTTTCTCTGATGGCAGTCAGCAGAAGGGTGGGATGCACCCTAAAGGGAAGAACCTCACAATAATCATTAGGCTAAGAGCACGCTGTCAGAGAATTTCCTTCCCAGCTCCATGAAGGCAACAATTGCCTGCATCCCAAAACATACAAGGCTCATACGCTTTACATTTTAATACAAAATCTTATGCGCAAGAAGAACATTATCCAGTACGTCCACTCAAATTTCGTAATAATTTGGTTGCAAAAGACAATAATCTCTTAGACTCATCTCTTTCCACATCCTACAGAGGAGTATGAGGTTTGACAATGGCAGCACAGACTAGCTACAACTTTAGTACAGCACGTTCTGTGGCTTCCCAAGCTACTCTTTAAGGCAAGTTTTGCAATGCCATTCCAAAGCTCAGAGAGCACTTGCGTTCTGCAACACTTGTGATACAGAAAAAGCAATTAGCAGAGGCTAACTGCCAAGTGAAAAGGTAGAAAAAAAAAATTGTCATTGAATTGAGAGTCTCTATCATGCTTGAAATGCTGCGCTTCACCCTTTTCGCTGAAGACTCCAAAAAAAAAAATCTGTTTCCACTGGCAGCGTGTGGTTTTACATTTGGGTCTTAGTCAGCAGAAAAGCACTACTATCACCAAGTCATACATAATCAAATTGTTACTATTTCACTAAAAAAGAGCCTACTAAATGATTTCCTGAAACTCTTAAGCTGGAGGAATCATAGTGTCATAACTGACCTTGCTTGAGCTATTGATTTTCTTAACTTTCTCAGATGTCTTTTCAGGTTCCTTATGTACTTCCTCAGCTGCTGGGAAGAAAGAAGATTTTTTTTTTTTAATGACACATCATAAATGACCAATTCTATCAGAAACAAGCTTATAGGAAGTTCACATAAAAATGGATATATCCAAAAGGAAACCCAAGACAGCTCACTGCAACAGACCTCATACTTAAGACTGCTGAACGTCTTTTTGTTTTTCATAGATGTATTAACTTACGTTTAATACACTGTCAGTCACCTACCTGAATGCAGTTTAGTAAGGTCCTCTTATTTGGGATTCTGTAACACCCTTTAGTTAATGGCAGATGTTTATTTTCTAAAAGATATTCTCTGTCTGTAATCACTGCAGTGACTGATTTAGAAGGAAACTAGGAAATGTGCAGGACCAAAATGCTTTTTTTTTAAAAAAAAAAGAAAAACCAAACAACTCTACAGTAACATAGGTGAGAGGAATACAGAAGAGGCGGAAGTATGCCTTGGTTTTCTGCCACTTAATCTGTGAAATATTGAGACTCTTGTGGCTTAAGTCCATAGGTGAGATGATGAGGACAGAATGACATTCTTAACAGTCTGAGTTATGAAAAACAGAAAATTCATATAGATGTCCTCCATGTTCAGTACACCAGTCTTCATTTTGAGGACCTCATTTTTTTTTTGTGTACATGTAGAGGGGTCATCTGGGTCATTAACAGATTATTAGCTAACGTCATGAAGTATTTGTCACTTTATAAAAGACAGTTCTGTCTTTCTGTAGTGTTAAGAGCTACTGCAAGAGCATAGGGAAGTGAAAAAAGCACTATGCTTATGCTCCTAAATTAAAATATTTTTTCTTCTCTTCTCATGCTATTTTTATAAAAGAAAGGATCTCAAAGCAGTTAATGACTATAAAAAGCAAGAACTACTGAAACATAGTTGAAGTGACCTCCCTTCACCATGCACTTACTATTTCCCAAGCAAAATATAATCCTTTGTTTCAATTCTAGATTCTTTAGGCTCTAGATTAGGCTTAGTTTCCTTCTACTGACAGAATACAGTAAGTCCTTTAAACAGTTTCTAAACCCACATGCTAGTGTACAATACAGTCTAAATTGTACTGCTCACCTTGAGATTTCTCTTGTGAGGGTCCCATCTGAGATTTACTCCTTAGTATCTTTGGCTCAGGCAGAAAACGAGCCCCTGTAAAAGCAAAAAGAAAAAGCTAGGTGAGCACTCCAGAGTAACTCTAGTTAGAGCTAGCTACTTTATCTCAGGAAGAACTCTTCTCTCAAAAGTCCTCCAAATTATTTCAACCACCAAGTCCACTGCAATACAATATTACAGAAAAACTTGTGACCAGTTAAAACATACTTTTCAAGAGCAGTCTGTCCAGCATTAAGACAAAAGCTTAGAATTAGGTTTCTGTCATCAAACACACAATTTACTGAGAAATGGCATTACTAAGTTTTCAAATGCATCAAGCTGACATAGAAAAGGAGGGATTGAAGATAAACCACATTATTACAAGGAAGTTGCTTCTCCATTACTACTTTTGAAATTATTTTTCCTCCTCACAAACAGATCTGAAGCTTCACAGACATTTGTTTTCTTATTAAGTCACTCTCCCTGCCAACAACACATTGTAGTTGTTTTCATATGGACACTCAATCTAATGAAAGCAGGGCTTATCAAAATAGGACCTTTCTTGAGTCCAAGAGATTTCTTCCATTTCACCAAAAGAATGAAAAATGGACTGCCAAGCAGAGTTTCAGCCAGAACCACGGGAAACTCAACTGTTGGAGCACAGACTGGACTCGTGGCAAAAAAAATATATGGAAAAGAAATCTGCTGGAGAACCTGTGACTCAAATCTTAGGAGATTCACACAGCTCTGAGAAATTTAGCAGTAACAGACTCAGCTCCATTGCTGGAAAAATCAAAGCCAACGGTTTACCATCCTGAAGGGATTCTAGATTCTTGTTATTGCAAGGAGACTCATCCGGACCATTAGTTTCTTTCCTTGTTTCTTCCTCTGTTGTCATTTTCATTTCCAGGTTTGATGCTTTGCTGTTTACTGCATCTACTTCTTGCTCCTCCTCAGTTTCTTCTTCTTCCTCCTCCTCCTCCGGTCCATCATCTTTCATTTTTAACAAGCTTTCAGGGACATCTGGACGCTTAACAGGCAACTTCTGCAGGAGAAAGACTTGTGCATCAGTGCTAAGATAAACGGAGGTAGATCTCACAGATATTCATTACAGGAGAAAGCACACATATTATTGTCACAGCAACAGCTGGTAAGGAAATGCTCTCAGGATGAAGAACAGTTAGGTTTTAAGGAAAAGTTACTGGTAGAGATGGAAGACGGAAAAAAAAGTGTCCAGTCCACAGACAAGGAGTGCAATCTTTTTGTAAGAGGGACACTGGAAACTGAATCAATATTGGATATGATCTTAGCTATAGGATCAAGAAAAACAAAAGAAAGTAAAGGACCAGCTGCTGAGGTACAGCAGTGGTTCAGCCTGATGTCCCCAGACTGCCTCTACTTGATCCGCTGCTTTTTGACTGCAGCTGTGCCTAGGAGACTGGCTGCACAAGGGCACAGAATGGCAACTGCTGGCAAAAAACATCCAACAGCCACTGCTCGCTGCCCCGTGCACCTCCCACTGCAGCGGGCTTGTGCCTCCATGCTGTTTCCATGCACGTGAGAAGACACGGTTGCCACAGCCTGAGAAGGTGCCTGAGAAATAGCCTCTAACTGGCAACACTTATGAGTCCAACTTACCCCCAGGCTTCCAGTTTTCAGCTTGAATTTGCTCCCCCCTTTCATTGCACCAAAGAGAGGCAGGGTAATCTTTTTAGGCTTGCTCTCTGCTTCCAGACTGTAACTCCCACTCCTAATAAAAATTAGATACAAAGGAAAGCAGTGTACAAAGTATCAGATGAGTCTTATATTTGCAAATGCAAAAAGAACCTGCAAATTAGAAGTGGAGATATAAACCCCCTTTATTTCTCTCTCATGTGCAGCATCCAAGGAGGAAGCTGCAGGAGATGACTCCTCCATCCTACATACATGCTGTAGGATTCAGACACTTGCCATAACAGGAAGCAATAAATAAATAAATAATAATAATAAAAAAATCTGTATCACAAAGACTCCCTCAAATTCAATTGCACACACACGCTTACATATGTATAGAATATATATGTATACATAAAAACATACTCGTAAGCCAAACCTCAATTGAATTAAATTAAGTAATTAAACCTCTAATCAATCTGCCACCAGCAAATGATGAACCTAGCACATGCCCCGTTGAATTGCAGTAGCGCTGCTAGGCAGTAGCTGAACAGTCACTACACTTAACATCCAGGTACATTTCACAGAGTGCAAATGGGTTTCATGTTGTACATAACACCTGTAAAATTCTTCAGTTCCTTTTGGAAGCAGGTTGGGGGAAAAAACAAACAAACAAACAGAAGCTGACACCATGCTTCCCATCCCTTCCCTCTCTCATCCCCCCAGTGTGGGCTTATCTTACTCCAGCATTGTGGTGCATCTGCCTCAACCATAGATTCTGCAACAGCCAAAAGGCACAGCGACTCTTTAAGGAGATGAGCCAGAAAGTTTGGAAGGCCGTCCTGCTTTTGCATTTGGAAAGCTCTCTGTTTACTAGGCTTGCACAACAGCCCAAGGATAACAACGATAGTAAAAGTAATTGTTTTACACTTTAGTCAAGACTTACTGGGGCTTCAGCTCAGGCAGTTCTGCAGGCTTGACAAGCTTTATTAACCCTTTCAGTCTCTGTTGCTCTTTCTTCAGTTCAAACGTCCGCAAGTGAAGCTTCTTTCGTGCCACACTGTCTAAGGTGCATCCTGATTTTATTTCAGTCATGAATTCATCCAACGAATCTTGAGCTGCTGGCTGGGACTGGACTAGGCAAGATAAAGGGAAAATACATATTGTTACAGGTGAGGAGATGAGAGCTGTACTCATCAAGCCCTACCTTTACAGAGTAAGGTATATAGGAACAGCTATCCTCTCTGCAAGTTTCTGTTGAATGGCGAAATAATGGAGGTTGTTAGTCTGGGAAAGATGAAAGCATTTCTCCTAACAAAAGCCTGACAGTAAACCTTAATCCACTTACATAACAAAGCCTCTCTGAAAATTGAATCTTTCTTTACCAGTAAGTGTCTCTATTTTCATCTCACTTTGAGATCTGCTGTCCCTGAAGAAGTGGCTTACAGGTTCTTTTTGTAGTCACAGGCTAAAATAAACACAGCTACAAAGAATACCACACCACTGCATGGGGAATCCCATTCTGGCTTTGCTGGAATGTTTATGTAATAACATTTGCAAAGCTCAGAATGAATCAACACACGATGCTGCCTCCTACCCCTGGATGACTAAGTGCATACAAGAATAGTTTCATATGTTAGGGCAATCACAAAATTTACCTTTGTTTTGATTGGATTTTCTAACAAGAAAACACTGCTCTGTACTTGAAAAAAAGAGTAGCAACAGTCTTTCTACTCCACCTGATTTTGAATATTAATAATGCTATGCATATTTGACTAATTAAAATAAAACTCAGGAGGAAAAACTAAAGCTCTAATGACTAAGAAAAATAAATACAGAATTTTAACACATGGATTTCAAATAACCAAACACCACAAAAAAAAAAACCAAAACCAAACCCAACCACCCCACCCAGGAAACCTCCTTTCTTGGGCTTGAACAATGCTTCAGAAGTTTTTATATGGTGTTCAAAAATAACTTGGAGACAAAGAAAAAAATTGTTGCTAGAATTTTTGACAAGCCTTCTGACCAGCAGTCTTCTGCCTTTAATATTATATGAAAAGTGGCAAATCTGACAATTTGCTGCATTGTAAGCATTTACGTATATGCACACAAGCATAGCAACCAATGAGTTATTCTCAGTTCAGCTTGAACTAAGTAGCACTTGAAATTTTAAATGTGTACAAATAATATAGTGTAAGTTATTGTTAAGAGTACATATTCAAGCAGTTTTACATGACTTAAATATTTGAGAAAAGTCTAGTAAGACTCATGTTTACAAATTGACTCAATTGAAAAGGATATTTCTGATCTAGAACAAAGCACAGTTTACAATTTGCAAGTATATGAAAGCCAGAAGAGTAACTGTTAAAAGATATACAGAATTAAGAGGCTTCAAAAGATAGGAAACAGTTGTAGCATCCATCTCCACACAAATATAAATGATGACAAAACATGTCATAAAAGAAATTCAGATAGAAATACTGTTCTTTTTCTTCATAACTATTTATATGTACCGAGACAAAAAACATCAATGAAAAGGTATTGTTAACAAACAATCTAAAACTCCTAGCAGGGAGGGGCTGAACAGAATGGTCATTTAATTTAAACATCAAATTTCAAAGATACAGTTTAGTGTATAGTCAGGTATTTCAGAACAATTAAAGGTATAGTTCCACAGCTTTCTTCTTTAGCTGCAGAACAGTGTAAGTGCTTCAGTCAGTAAGTCATCTTCAGTGAGTCAAGATCACCTGTTCATACAAATAGCATTCTCTGCTTGATTCCACCAACAGTGCCTAAGATCAGGTAGTTCAGCTCACAGGGTTACTGTTAGCATTCAGTATCTGTTGCAGCAGTTTTCTACATTACTGCAGTAACATTTGACATTGCTAGGAGGTGAATCAATCATGGCTATTATACTTTACATTCCAGTGAAAAAAAGCTATTTACTGCACCATCAACTTATTGATAATTTTCCTCTGAACAGACAACCAAAGATGAGACTCAAGAGCTCTATGTATTTGATTTTCATTCAGCTGCATCAGTGAATGAGAGAGACCAAGTCAGTCCATCAGTAATTAGTTCTGAAGAACTCCAGAGAACAATTTGTGAACTTCTACTGTGATTTTTTAGACAACCACTTAATTTCTCCAAGTGCTTGGTAAGAGGTGTTGCAATTTAGCCTGTCATTCACCCATTGATCTCTCTATAGTCTTGCCCCTAGGCTACAAATAATCATTTAGAGCAAGAAAAAGTATGTTAAGGTTTCAGACTGTATGTAATGCAGCAGCTTTGCCAGACAGCTCATGCCAGTGGTAAGAATCACCCATGATCCATACTCATGCTCCTGGCTTACACGTGTACTCAACATCTGTGTTTAACCTGAAGCATCCAAAGAAATAAGAAAAAACACAAGTATCTAGAACACACACACACAAAGTAACTGATGCTGTGATATTTGCTATGTTTTATCCTGGCCTAGATCGAGGAAATTCCCATCCAATACTGAATTACTCTGTATTGCAGTAAGTGCTAAGGCTGCAATTTTTCCAAGGCTCTAAATGAGCTGTGTAACCAGTTACAATTTACCAAACCATGATAACATAAATCAGAATTATACGGTGTTAGTGTAAGTCTATAAATGAACTGATTCTTCCTTCTCCCAGCCTCTAGTACAGTATGCTTAGTCTTGTTGAGAAACAGTATCGGGAGAAACAAAAGCATCATAACATATGAAAGCTTAGAATGACACATCTCAGACAATACAAAGCATTAGCTTCTCTTGCTAGTCAGTCGTTAACTACTTATCAGAACAGTCATGCTGAAAACACACTGAACCGACCCATCAGTTAGAATGCTCAGTGGAAGAGTACTGTTTTCTGAAGAGTGATCTGGTATAATCAATCACCAACAAAAATGTTGATACAAATGAGTTTTGGTGTGGAGCTGAATTACTAGAAAGAAACATACCCGTATAATGCACGATAGATAGCCCAGCTGTCAGGTTGCTGCCAGGCTTCTTGGAAAGAAGCTTTTCAGACAAACGGACATTGCAACCTTTATTAGTATCAACTCTTTCATCTTAAAAAGGTTTTTGTATGAAGAACCAGCCTAAACACATTTCCTTCATGCCTTCCTTTTATTCCACAAGACAACATCAGTAATAGAAAGTAAAATGCAGCTATTTGTATAGTATGCTTTTAAATCTAACTCGCTACCAGATACAATGACCACTTTGGAAAGGCTCTGCCTTTGTACCCAAAGGCGTAATCCTAGAACCTGAATGGCACCCTCATAAGCTAGCAAGTTCACTGGACATATGGGCTAAACATCAACTGCTCTGACTCCACATTTCTCTTTTCCCACCTTTCCTTTTTAAGGTGCATTTACAATGAGAGAAGGGAAATAAAAGATATTGTCTTTTCTGTCAGTTGTTAGCTCTTCCCTTATAAATGGATTTGGAGGGAGCGGGGAAAAAAGCATTCCTCAAATTGGGTCAGTTTCACTCATACAGGCAGATAAACAGTAATAATGCTCACCCTCTTGAGCTCCAGGAGCTTGTACACTCACCTCCTTACCTTTAATTTAGATGTTGCTTGCTTTGTAAAAAGCTGCATTCATTAGCAAGTGACTATACACACAGAGTACATAAACTATTGGATGAAGAGCATAAGTACCCTCTCTCCAGTTAACTCAGTGAACCACAAATCTTCCTACTCCTTTGTAAAAAGTGGACACTAAAAAAAAAGTACTTAAGACAGCAATCCTTAACATACATCTTCATCTCTTTATTGTTCTTTATGGAAAGCACTACAATGAAATAAACTTCTTGCCTTACCTTTCCCTGAAGCCTTCAGCTTCTCTGTTATCTCAGAAAGCTCATTTTCAGCTTCATTTAGCTTTGTGACCTATGAAAGAACAACATGCTTAGAAGATCTTTTTATCTTCTTAAAATCTTCTTTTAAGTGTTACTCAAATATCCTACCAAATTACTTCAATTTTTCTACTTCTGATCTTTGACCAGGGGTTTCTGGGCTGAAAAAATTATACCCTAGACTGTTGCTAAACAACTTCTCAGTCCTTTCACGTACTGTTCAAATAATTATCTTTCTGAAACACAAATACATATAATGCTTCTGCAGAAATGTTATACCACCATTGTGATTCTACAACCCTCCCTATCCCTGCTCCCCTACACCCTATTGTCTGTGTAGGACTTTTAATTGTCATATGCCTACCAGGCCAGGCTGCTTATTCTTTGAAGCAGAATGAGATCCTTCTTTGGGATGTGATGCTTTAAAACTATTTTAAAGGTATCCTGTTCTGGTATTACAGTCACCCACTGCTGTGATCCACCAAGCAGAAGGCAATACTACACAGGCAAAAGCAAAGTAGTATGTTTCCACTAGAATAAAGAAAGCAGTATTTTCAGGTATTTATAGATATTGTCCACAAATAAAAACAAAACCGTTTTATTCTAACTTGGCCAACTGAAAGCTAACTGTCTGAAATTATATCAGCATTCAAGCTCACAGAGAAACATAAGGAAATATTTTTATTTTCCCTCTTAGTAACCATACATGCATGAGAGAATAAGCCTGGCATGCCATTACGATTCTTCTTACCAGGGAGTCATAAGTCTCTGGTTTTTCTTCTATTTTACCAGCTTTTTTCATTCTGTTCAGTCGTTTCTTTTCTACAGCACCAGTTCGATCAAGGAAAGTGTCATCATCACTGTCATAAAAATCCTCATCTTCCCAGTTCTTTGATTTCCTTTTTCGGGATACTGGGAAAGGTAAGGGAGAAGGTGAGAAACAAAAGGATTTGCATACCACTGAGCAATAAAAAAAATTCAAGACAGCAATCTCTAAAAGCCCTAAATTAGGGATTTGAATTATTACAGCATTTGACTAGTTATTCACCTGCTTCTTGCCTCAGTACTCCCCGAGCATCGAGTAGCCTGCAAGCTTCCAGCGCACACTGTATCATTGCTTCCTTCTTCTTTCCTGAATGGAGAACCTCTGCTACCAGCTGCTTCCCTGATGCATCATCTACAGGCAACCTGTTCAGTTTGAAGGATCAGAGAACAGCTCAGACACAAACGGCTTTTAATGGATGCTACTCAGATATTATACTTATCACATTGGCATTGTTCTTTCCATTTCACTCCAGCCTTTTTTGTGGGTTAAATATTTTCACTTTTCATTTCATACAGTACTAATGAAAACACAAGCATGGATTTCCTAAAGCATGCAAGTAAATTTTTATTTCGCTAGTCCAAACAATAATTCTTCCTATATTCATTCCATTGGGAATACAACAAACTAAAAGATTAAATGTCAATCCCTGAATCATTTTAAGCACCAGTATCCTGCATCCATGCAACACCAGTAACAAATATTTTCCATGCTGAAGCAATGGTTTCTTATGTAGTACAATCATTGCAATGCTGCACCTATCCATTTAAGACCCATCCTCTCGACTTAATTTCCACCTCACCCTCTCCTGTCTTATAAGAGAATGATGTTAGCAGCCTCTTGCAGGAACCCATAAAAAACTGCCTTATACCATAAAAGAACTGAAATTGGGTACACAGGAAAATGAATGATTATTTTTTTTTCTCTCGCCCATTAGGAATTGGAAGATAGTTTCCTAGTTTCTTCTCTCGTATTTCAATTTCACATACTCCTCAAAACAAAGGGAACTGAAAGAACCTAGATTCTTCCTTTCCCATTTTTCATCTCTAAGGCAAACCAAATGCTGCTGGACCAGAAATGAGCACAGACACTGAACTAGGCACTGCTCCTTGAACTTCTGTCTCAGTATCAGGGCTTAGGTCTAATTCCAGCTGGCATCCTTGCCAGGTGTGACAAGCCAAGCAGTTCCTTCAGTTTTTATTCATGAATTCAACAAAGTCAGCTTCTATGTACGGAAGTAAATGGAGATAGACATACTTGATCCTGCATAGCCAGCTATTGTGCCCACGATCATCATATTCATATTCTAGCTCTTCTCCTAGAGAGGAAAAGAAAGTTGATGTAGTAACCAAAATTGAAATAAGCAGGAATAATCTTTACAGCAGAGAAGAATGTCATGGTTAAACAAAATGCCTTTGTTACGTATCAAAGGACTGGATTTGCCACCTTTTTTTTTTTCCTCAGTTGATCTTATGCTCATTTGGTTGTTTTTCACAATCAAGGCTTTTTCAGATCAAAAAAAACCTCTAAGCAGCCTGTTCAGGAATATGTAGTTCAAAGAAAAAACAATCTAGCCTCTGTATGCATTAAAGTAAACGACACTGAAGTAACAATGATTTGCAATCTGGATTCACAGGTACTGTTTACCTTGAAGATTAATTTTTCACTTTAGCAAATAACTGTGTCATCTGTAAGTTTTGCTAGCAACCATCGAAAGTTCAGACCAATTCATTATTGCCTTTTGTCTTTTTATACTTTCCAACTCTATCTCACAATCATAGGCATCTCCAAACAGAACGGTCTGGAATTTGACAGGTTTGGATTTTTCAGCGTATATTCAAAGCATGGTTGTGGTTTGAGCATCACTCCAGAGGAATATGAGGTGCTCTCTGCAACTCCCAGTTTAGGGATTAGTAACTAAGCCTCAGATATCCAATAGTGAGCTAAGTTTTAATAATCCCCCCCCCCCCGCCCCAAAAAACTTGACCAAATAAAAAAAACCCCAAACTTACCCACAGTGTAATAGAAAAGTTTAGCTCCCACACCTTAATTCCCAAAGAAAAACATGAGCACAAACATCACACTTTGCTAAATAGCAAAAACCACATTTAATTTAAAAAAAAAAAAGAAAAAAAAAATCACCTTCTCTGTCAAAAAAGCCTTGTAAGGCCTTCCTAGGATCTTTCATATAGAAGGCATCTTGTATATCCTGAAAATCAATAGCAATAGGGTTTTCTTCAACCTCATCCTCCTCAGCATCCTCCCCTAGAAGAAGACATACAAAGTGCAGAACAAATAGTGAAACGTTAGAAAGAAAACACCAGCATATTTCAGCTTTCGTTAGTTTGAAAGAAGTAGCAGCTATAGCATCCTAAAATTATTTCCCTGAACTTGAATATTATTTCTGCATACAGTCAAAAAAAACACCCTGCTGCTTTTTTGCTATTAGTTATTCCATCATCAAATACAGTTTTGCAGATGAATGTCACCGCAGTTTCAGCACTTTCAAGGGTTTATGTGCTTGTACGTTTCCATTCAAAAAAACAACTTATTTTGTACTGGAAAGCTCATTAATTACAATTTATCTCGCTTGATGTGAACTTCTAGATGTGAACTTCCTGTTTAAATGTAAAGACAGCTATACTGCGTAGAAGTCTCAAGCAATTAAATTTCACCTCCCAGGCAAAAGTGCGGACATCATCGCACGTACAAAACACATAGCATCAACCTAAACTCTCAGTTTCATGGCCTTTTATAGGCACTAGCAAATTACTTTCTCCCTTTTAGAAAGAGCTCCAGCGTACTTCTCACCAGATATAAGCTTGCCTTGTCACAGCACTCTTCTTTTTAAATTGAAAAGGATTAATTTGTACTCAAGAACTTCCACTGGACTGGGACACTTGGCATGCAGCTGAAATTTCAGCCCTAGTATTCACTGAAAACTGGCTTAAAGACCTTCCAAGGTGTATCAGCTGATTTATACATCATCACTTACCCATTCCCCACGAGCAGCTCATATCGCTGTTCTGACTCCTCTCAGTTCTTTCCTCTTTTTCATCTTCCTCATCAGAGTCCTCTCCCAACATTGTCTTTTCTAATTTTGCTTGCTGCTGCTTACGCAATGCCTTCAGCTGAGTCACAGTTAGTTCTGACTCAGACTCCTGGTCCTCTTTGGGTCCCTACGACACAAAGAGTAACTTAGCAGAAGTGTTTTTTAAAAGAAAAAATGAAGAATATTTTCATCACGTGTGCAGATTATGCACAGTAACATAAACAAATCATTATAGCACTCTTCAAGAGTGGAATTATTAGACCATTTGTTATGGCTTGTGCACCCAAATATGTTAGTTTTAATGCCCTTTCCAAAGGGGGGGGGGGGGAGAAACAAGCATTATTGTGTACTTGTAGTCAGATCTATCTCAAACGTAACTGTATTTTAAAGGCAGAAAGCAAAACTTTCCATCAGTGCCACACGGGAGAATTTGATGAACGAGCAACTTCTGAAGCGCGTGTTGGGCAAGCCAAGTGCTCTCTAAGCTCCTACTAATAAATGCTCCCCTTGTTCACAAAGAAATATTAGTGCTTTACTTTCCTGATGCACCATACTGTCGGAGAGACCTTCCTGATACATCACACCCTTGGAGAGGAACGCCTTTTGCGCTCATTACACACCGGCCGAAGCAGCCGTGCCCGTTCTCACGTTAAGCCCCCGGCAGAGCTGCCCCGTGCCCAGCGCACCGGGGCGACCCCGGCCCTGCTCTGTCCTTCAGCCCCAAATCTCAGCGCAGAGCCGGCGGCAGATACCTGCGCCTGACTACTTTTCCCCAGTAAAACAGCCGCGGCAGCACTGGGCTGCTGCCAAAGCATCCAAACCACCTCACACCACGGAAAGCAGCTTC